CAGCTACAAAGCAGGAGACTTGCAGAGAATGGGAGAATTGATGAACGCCAGCGTTGAAACCCGTAGCACAATCATTGTGTCTTTAGATTTTACACCCTAAAATTTTTTGTTCCTTTCAGACCACCACTGTACATTTAGGATGCAGCTGTGAGGCCGTAAACGAAATAATAATTCACTGTCGAGCGCTATAGGCGCTCGTTCATTGGAGCTGGTTGGGTGAACTCAGATAATCGCCGGGGGCAGGCGGCTATGCGAATTATTGGCAAGCGGGCATAGCAAAAATGCTTCGCTGATTTTTGCTGTCCGCCTGCAGATTTGGAAGATCGTTGGCCACTTTTTAGAAGAACGCTCAGAGGACAATTGCGGTTTTTTCATAGTTCAGTTGCGGCGCAGTGGCCGCATTCTCGCGGACCTTCCGCGAGAATATGCAAAATTATGGGTGCCGCACGGTCCATTGTGAAGTACCGCACAGCCCGTAGGTACCTTCCGCTGAGAGAAAGTGTCCCAAACTCAGGTAATCGAACCATCGATGCCATGTAGAGTGTTACATTTGGTCGACTACGTCCGAAACTGCATAACGAGAGTCAGAGCGCTTGCTGAAAATTTAGCCACCGCTCGCTGAAAAAAATTATCTGGCGGCCGTTCGCAAAAAATTCTGTATTGCTGCCCGCTGGCAGAACATACGACAGTAAAGGAAACACCGCTCTTTGAAGGTTTGGCCACGCCCCGAAATTTGCCGCCTGCAAGAAAACGCGAGTTTGGGTTCGCCTGCTACCGGCGATTGTTTGAAGATGTCCTTGCAGCGCTTAATTACATAGAAATCCTGTAGATTTAGGAGGCAGTGCTTTTTAGCACCAAACCAATATCATGGAATCACAGGACAATTTCTTCGACTTAATAATACTCGTTTTCCCAGATCTAATCACGACTAATTTATTTAGACGGTCTGTATTTGTGATAGATTGATCATTCAACACACATCCAAACGCATTGCTTCGCGATTTCAAATGTGTTGCTTTAACACATTCACGACTAGGCCGATTTTTCGATCACTGCCATTTCGGATCAGAGCCTTCCTCGCTTCGTCAAAATTACGAACCACCCGTGGGTCGTATTGTCCGAGATGGTAGTCTTTTTGGGAAAAGTTCAAAACATGTCTTCGAGAATTTTTGGAGGTAATCGAAGGCGCTGATTATCGAAAAAAAACTAATTTCAATTTCAGTATTTGTTCTGTGCCGAACAGGTTTTTTATAGTAATACCTTTATTGCCTTACGTTTCGGCTACACGCCGTCATCAGAGGCCTGAAAGGTGTCACTCACATGGATGTCTGCTCTTGACCGCCAAACACCTCTTCCCACTTGCATATTCGATTCATCTAGTGTGGAAGAAGGAGGTTGGGCCATGACTTTCACTCACCAGTGTATTACCGATATTGCAGTGTGCAACCGCTTTAGACGAGCCCGTTCGACTGTGGTGACACATGAATGAGCAGTGTGTATGTCACATAACTGTTTATATACGCTCAGACGATCTATAGCTCGCAAAACGGAATATACGGCATGAGATCGGCGGTAATGGATAACTGTTCATTCTTGCTGTTCATTTTGGGATCACGCGTAAAAATGAAAGACGCTTCCAAAGCCTTTCGCGCAGCTATTTGACTTTCATAGGCTAGTATTGTGCACCTTATATCGTAATCCGTTCCTTCGTGCTCTAACTTTCTGTGTTTACCTAGTGGGCTCATCATGCTCTGTTTTCTTTTGCCAGTTAGATGTTCATTCAAACGTACGCCCAATGGTCGGCCGGTCTCGCCAATATAATTGGCGGAACATTTCAAACAATGGATTTCGTAAACGACACCACATTTTGTGCAATCTCCGATTTTTCCGTATGGGCAGATCGCGCAATCTCGTAAGTTACAAGCTTTGTCGTAGAGTCTATTGCGGATTAGTTGTTTCTTTATGTTGTCGCGAGGAATATTTACTAGAATAACGTCATCCTCGAGATTCGCTTGTATCAGGCATCGCTTGATCGCCATAGTGACTTTTTCAGAGATAAAGGGCAGGCATAAAGGTACCTTGTTGGTGACCTGATCTTTTAGTTGCGTTGTTGCCTTTTTGTTTCGTCTGGGTCGTGTTGTATAACCATTGGATAACATTATATCGGCCGCCAGTTTTAGTGATTCATGCTTCTCAATCTCACCAGTACTGCTCTTCGCTGCCGTTTTCAAGATATTGCGAATTACGGCACGTTTAACGGCTAGTGGGTGAGCGGATTGAGCGTGCAAGATTATGTTTTTGCTACTTTCTTTGCGGTACCATTTGGTGCATACTGAGCCATCTACAAACGTCATCTGCATGTTCAAGTAGGCCAACCAACCGTTTCGAGGTTTCTCTCTTGTCAAACTTATGTACTTAGACTGTTGATTGAGTATTTTAAAACACTCGTCCATCTCGGACTTGTTGTCGTGACAATGCAACAGTCGTCTATGTAGCGACAGTACATAAAAAACTAATTTCAGTTTTCGGCGTTATACGGTAAGGTTACGGTAGTCATCCTGTAGAAACCAAACAATAGATTTCCATGAAAAATTGTGTTTTAGAGTTGTTTCACGTGCTGATTACGTTTGTAGTGTCCACTTTGTTCACTACTGTCCCACAGTGGGGCTACGGTAGCAGTACGGTAGAATTTTTGTAGAAATCAAAAAACTGAGGTAAGAAGATGGTATAAAAACTTGAGAATATCATTCTCGTAATCAGCATGATACAAAACTTATTTATGCAAAATTCGAGCTTCCTAAGATGAAAAATGCAAAAAGTCAATAAAATCAATAAAATGGATAATTTTTTGGTGGGCTAGTGTCAGCCTCTTGTCCATCCCCGTACTACTATTACTATTACAAGTAAACTTGATTACCTAGAAACAGCATCATTTTGCGGAGAATTTGAGCTAAAAGTCTGTGCCTTATGTCTATCTACGATATACCTACCGGAACTTTCATTACAGTATCCCGAGCATGGACCACTCTGGCTGAAGCTTCACCTAGGTGCCCCAATCATGTGCTAGAACTCCGAAGAATTCCGTCGTAAACTGGCTAAGCTAGCGCTTCATGAATCTTACGACCCACCGGTGGGTCGTATTGTCGAGATAAACGTTTCAGATGATTTGGCTCAGCCTCTGATCTAAGCTCTCATGGGTGGATGAGGTACACATCCGCGTTTAAGCACTCCCAGTTAAAAGGTAGCTTGACTGCCTCTTTGCTTCTTGTCCGAAATGGCAGAACACGTACGATTCAGCGGTGGGTCGTATTATCGTGAATGTGCAAGTAGATCGCTCTGAAAACATATCTGAGCTTTCGCAAGGTCTAAGGTTTCCAATTGGCACATTTTGCAAACGATGTCCAGATATTTATTTATTGTCTCAGGCCAGAAATCCTTATAAAATTACAGAAACTTCTTTGATTCGCATCCACTGGTTATATCTCAGGTTGCAACGAAGTGTTGATATTGATCAAACAGGAGCCAATGTAACATCACGGAAGCCCATAATGTTAGTCAAATTCAACTTCTAACTGAAGTCAAGCTTATATCAAAAGTTGGGGTTAGGTACACATGAGATACAGAACAGAAAGAGCATTCACTATAACGCAGTAGTACCTGAAGCTGCCAGTAAACGCGTTTTGTGATTTGCCAAGTCGCTGGTACATCAGGTCAAAAACGCTCAAACTAACTAGAAGGAAAGAATGGTGCATCTGGTGATTCATGACAACCCCAAACAATTAGAGATATAATTTTACATTGAGATAGAACAAAAGCTTGAGTATGGCTCATACGTCATTCAAATGTAGTCCGCACTCATTGGATCATGCGTCAGATGTAATGAAAACTTGTATATGTTTATTCGAAGTATTAGTCAAAAAAAGAATTTGTTATTTGCTTTATGGTCTATCCGATTGGAGATACATCTTAGTGTGGTTAATTCCGTCATTGCTTTTCTGTAGTTCATTTCTTTTTTTCCATAACACCGTCTTCAATAAGAAAAGCCACCTAACTTAGCTCGGCCTTTTGGCAAGGGACATATTTGTTCTGAATAGCTTCAAACGCTGATTCCAAATATGCTATTCATAGCTGCCGCGCACAATTCCGAAGCCACATATATTTTTTTCCTGCGCAAAATTGGCATGCTCATCGGACTTATGGCATCATGGCATCACCATCTAAGTGCCAATACACTTAGTTAAGCTTCTTTTGAGTGAAAAAGATTGGATCTGTATTATTTCGATATCTCAGCACCTTTTTCTTATAGAATTTTATCTACAAGCAGTCTTCCCATGTTCTAGTATGCAAACTTGGCGCAAGAAAAAGCTCGCAACTTGCTTCGGATTGGTGCGCGGCAGCTAGGAATAGCATTTGAAATCATTTGAAGCTAAATCAGTAGTTATCTTTCTTGCCATAAGGCCGGGCTAAGTCAAATAGCTTCCCTTATGAGCTGACAATCCATATCAATCGAACAACTTGATCCTGTGCAAAAAGAAGATGAATAGAAGCAAAATCTTAATGACAAAGTGTCGGAATTTGAAATCTTAGGTACAAACAAAATATGAGTAAAGTTCATGCCCTCTGGTTAAGGTGTACTCTATTTGAGAGAACGCTGCGGTGAAGCAAAGAACTATGAACTTTATCAAAGCAACGGGGAGGGAAACTGAAACAAAAGATGAATGAAGAGGTAAAATAGGGAAAAACTGGTGCATGGATTATAGTGAATATCAATGGAAGCAAATACAACTCTTCAAAGAAGACTTTTTGCTCACATTCACATGATTCGATGCTGATGCAACCCCATAGTACGATAAACGGAGCATCCTGCACTAATGTGAAAAGTGTGTGGAAGAACAGTCCGGAAATAACACCTAGATGGGCAGTATTGTGAAGTTGAAGCTATGTTGTGGAAAAAACGGACCATAATAAATGAGAATTCGTTGCGAAACATCGTACACTGGTCAATGAAAAAAGACACCGCCAGCCGCCATCGTCCATATTTTCCCTTTTTTGTTCAAAACAGTCAAGTCCATAGGAGCCCTTTTCGAGTCGACATCAACGATATATGCTTCCTCAAGTATTTCTTCTGCTGGACGAAATAAAATTGTAATGAAATCAAAGTAGGTCTTTACGATGATTACGTCCAAAAGAACTGACTGATGCACTCGCATGTTTTTCGTATCTGGATTGCCTCCGTACGCAAGCAGAGTTGCGGTGCTCTGAAAGTGCAAAAAGCACGGAACTCCGAAAAAAGGGAAAGTATCAAAAAGTAAAGACTTTTATGCGTGTTTGGATAAAATGGACCACGTGCGTAGATTAGACTTGCTAGCGCAAAAGATTTATTAGCAGCAAAGATTACAAGGATACAGCCTATTGAGGCAACGCCGGTTAGGTCCGAAACAACAAAATTGAAACTGACTAATTGAACAATCAACCACGTTATGCCTTTCGCGCTCAAACACGTAATCCAATAACCCGACAAATGTAATCACAGATCAAAGTGATTCTTATTTTTTACACGCCATCCTCGAAAAGTCACCTCCGGGGGGCTTGGCACCGTCCACTCTGCTTCATACTTAGGGCCTGCTCTATTTTCGCTAGGGAGTCTAGGGTACACGACTTCCTCCTATTCTCTTTTCCTTCAATTCGGTTTCTCATGAGTTCCTCATAGGTTGGCTCGCATGCTCTTTCTTCTCCCTCGTAATCTGAATGTCAATAGTCGTAATATGTTCGAAGCTGCTTCTCGCAGCTGCTTCAGGAAGATCAGAATTTGCCATCCGTAGAACTTATCCTTCTTTTTCCTCAACTTACGCAGGCATTGGCAGATTGGAGCTTCGGTACTGCGTTTTCTAATTGCTCAGTTTCCTTGGTTTCGAGTTTTCTGATAGCGCCACGCTGTCACGCTCATCAACAGTACCGCATTTGCAGGATGAAGAAGATGTAGCAAGCCCTTTCTCAAACTTTTTCCTTCACGAACTCACTTTTATTCTCCTTTATTCGTTCAAGAGGTCGAGGCACTCTTCCGCGTTCAGACGATGTTGTCCGCTCTAGCGTTTCTGCGTAGTGTAGTGGGGCTTCTTCTGCTAACTCATTGTTTTCCCCACTTAATTGCTCTCCCTCCGACACGTATAACCTGGTAACGAGGGCTTTTCGCATCGTTCGCAGTGTTGCAATTTGCAAAAGATGAACACACCTATTTGAATAATGCACCCATACCTTTCCGTCATCTGGACTGCCTGGGCATATAACACCGAAATGCGATTGTCTAGAACTATGAAAATGTTAGAATACACGGTTACCGAAATCAAAAAACCTTTAAGCATGCGAAATGACAAAAAAAGGTCATATTGATGATATATGTACAAGTGCAGGACGCCGCTACATGAGTTGAAGTGCCCTTGGCGCCGCCAGTTGCGGCTGTGTGATCCGCCACTAAAAGTCTATTATATCTGGTACACATGTCCAACCGTAAGCGTTAATGGTTTGTCATGATAAGACGTTAGATAGTGCTGCTTGCAATCACAAGTTTAGATGAGAAAGTACTGACCGCAATGAGTGAGTATGCACCGTTGGGAAACGCTTGATTCAAGTGAAATATGGCTTCAATTCAGTGTTGTAGCTGTCCTGAAAACTGCTCGCTCAGTTCACAAAGACAGGCCTTGCATGGAGAAAGTTGGCCTTTCAAGTAAATCTAATTTTTCGATCTTAGAGCCTTAAGCTACACCTCAAGGGTCCATACATTCTGCGTGAATATGGCTTCAATATAACAGCGCAAGATTGAGAAACGTTTTAGAAACCTTGTCTAATTTCTTCGCGGTGTCACGCATACGGTTATGAGATAGAAGCAGTAACGCGTTGCCAGAATAGTAGGCGAAGGCCAGCTATGTAAGCGACGTTTGAGTTGCAACCTGCTTATTTTGGTGGGAGCAAAAAATCTCAAAATATAATAAAATCAAGCTGTCCCTTTTTTACCGTTCAGCGTAATATTTCGTCCACATACCTCTGGAAACTTTTTGGTTACTCGCCACAAGCATCAACTGGAAATCGGCACCATAAAATAATCATGATGACATTGTGCAAAAAAAAACTAAATTTAGACTTATTCCTTCTGAGTAGCATTTACTTACCACCTTGTTGTACGTAGGTCCTCCATTTACGTAGAGGATATCGTCGGCTAGCAGTTTACGCTCAGCATCAAAAAGGGGTTCAAAGTAATCAATTTCGTCGAGGAATGCTTGCAATGCCTGTCCTTCAGAAAGTTCAAATGGAAGTGGTAAATTTGTCACTTGCAACATACTGAACTTACCTGCTTACTTACTCAAGTAAACATGACTAACTTACCAAGAGCCAATTTGGTCTTGTCGTTCTGCGTACAGTTTAATCTCCTTGGTAGAAGTTTCTTGTTGGTTTTCTAATTGGTCCTGTTCAGTCTTTAGTTAATTCTCTTGGTTCTTATGCTGGTCACGGCCGATGTTAACGATATCATGGTAGTAGACATTTCGGAGTTCGAGTTTATTCCCAGTTAAGAAAGATCGAATAGCGCCCAAGACGTCCATTGATGACATGTCAAGTCATTGGATATCTATGTTAAGCTTACATACGGACTTAGCCCGCTTAACGATGATCAATAATAAACATCCCTTCTAGAGCAAAGGGCGCGGGAAAACAATCAGAGTTCCCTCTCAGATAATCGCTGGGGGCAGGCGGGCACCGGAAAAATAGATTGCTGATTTCTCGCACTCCGCTCGCGGATTTTTTGGAAAGCAATCAGGACTTTTCGGAAGACCGCTTGCTGAGTCAGCGGATTTTTGAGAGACCGCCTGTTGAGTTTTTTTCGCTTTTATATTTTGCAGATATATTGCTGAATCTCTAAGGAATCGAGAACTCAGCAAGCGGTCTTCCGAAAATTCCTGATTGCTTTCCAAAAAATCCGCGAGCAGGGAAAGATCAGCAATCTATTTTCCGGTGCCCGCCTGCCCCCGGCGATTGTCTGAGCTTGTGATATACGTTAACGATTCAAATATTGTTTGCGCAACATCGAGCTCGTGCTCCTTGTTCCGCGAACAGGTAAATAAACATAAATACAAACACACTATAAGATATTAAATATAAGAACCATAGTTTTGCGCTAGCAATTATATTCGTAGCGAACACATAAATTTGATCGTACATCCCAGGAAGAAAAATTAACATTTAATAACTTATCGCTGTGCTAAGCGGTACTAAATAATAGAATATACACAAAATAAGTTGTGATTGCTCAATTTCTTCTTTGCCACGACAGGTTTTTACAGCAACAATTTATTGTGCTGCCTAACGTTTCGGCGGATACGCCGTCCTCAGAGGCCTGAAAGTGAGTCAATCACTTTTATCAAACGTATTATGCCATCAAATGCCTCGACCAACTCGCACGTTTGACTCGTCCAATGCAACCGCAGTCCAGCGTCCAAGCTCGATCAACTTACCAAGACTCCCAGAGAAGAGCACGATAGAGGCTCTTTAGGTCGCCTACAGTGTACGGTAACAATAAACAGTCTAACTGGTTTGGACATGTTTAAATAGCTATAGGCTATCGAAATCACAAAATGATAAGAACGGCTTCAGATCATTCGTCACAGGCAACTGTTCATTCTTGCTATTTAATTGGGTTACGAGCAAGAATGAACGCGGCTTCTAACACTTTTCGAGCAGAGATGTTGTCCTCGATTGCCAGTATGCTGCAATTTATGTCAAAGTCTTCGCCGCCATGATCTTCGCTTCTATGTTTCCCCAATGGGCTCACAAGGCTCTGTCTTCTTTTGCTGGCCAGATGTTCATTTACACGTACAAAAAGCGGTCGACCGGTCTCGCCGATGTAAATGGCCCGGCATGTTCGACATTCCAACTGGTAAACTACACCACTTTTTGAGCAATCTCCTGACCTTCCGTTAGTGCACACAACACAATTTCGCGATGTGCAAGCTCTATCGTATAATCGATTTCGCACCAGTTGTTTCTTGATGTTGTCTTGTGGTAAATTCACTAGAACAACATCATTATCCAACTGTGCTTGCGTAATACATCGTTTGACTGCGTTGGTCACTTTGTCGCATATGAACGGCAAGCATAAAGGAACACGTGTTCGACTTTGGTTGCTTGCATTCATGTATGTTCGTTTGGAGGCTTTCGATTGCAGCGAGTATCCGTTGTTGGAAGCTATGACGCGTGCCATTTCCAGAGACTCAAGTCTCTCACTTTCTCCGCTGCACACACTGCTGGCTGTCTTAAACATGTTGCGGATAACCGCACGTTTCACGGCAGTTGGGTGAGCAGAAGTGGCGTGTAAGATAATGTTCTTGCTGCTCTCTTTCCGATACCATTTAATGTGTACAGCGCCGTTTGCCAACATCACCTGTGTGTTAAGGTAGGGTAACCAGCCATCGTGAGGTTTCTCTCTAGTTAAGCTAATGTACTGCGATTGTTCATTGAGGGTCTTGAAGCACTCATCCATTCCGGACTGAGTCGAAGTCACAATGAAACAATCGTCTATATATCGACAGTACATTAGGGGACGTCGCGTTAATACAGGCTCTTCTATCTTGCTCATAAAGCAGACAGCAAGAACCGGCGCTAGTCTTTGCCCCATCGCCAGCCCTCTTATTTGTGCGTAAAAATTGCCCGACCATTTAAAGATGTTACATCCAAGGCATTCCTTGATTAAGTTGAGACTGATGTTTTGTAGCCAACGCCGAAATTGTTACAAACTTTATCGGAGAACGTTTCGGTTTCTCGCCTTCGTCAGGGCCACACAAATAACACCCTTGGTAGAACGACCGCTGGGCTGACCGTATATGGAAATACTCAAAATAGTTCGGGAGAGTCCTGACGTGATGTTGGGCACGGACTATCCGATGCAGTTTGCATTACACGGGTTACGCTCCCCAGCGATGAAGAGGCTTGCCCTGGCTCTGGGGGGAAATACTCTTCTTAAAGGAAATTGCATAAACGTTCAAAAATGATCGCTCGAACTCGACGGATCTAAGGTACAATAACAAAATCAGACAAATCATTTGAATAAATGTTCGGTGTTGTCCGCTTCCATAAATGACTATAGTGGCACCGGCTCAAGATAGTGAATTTCCAGATTCTAATAACTACACAATCTGTAAATGTCAAGGAAAAAAGTGCCACATATGTAAAAAAATCAACTTCACCAGTCTCGTTAGAAGTTCAACTACTAATCTACTTTGAAACTAACAAGACAGCAACTTCTAAGTGTGATTCGAAACATGTGATCTATATGATAATAACTTGTCTCACATGATTGCAGTACGGTGGAACGACTAAACAATCATTATGATCAAGAATTATTCAACATAAAAATAGTTCTCGAAAAGGTAACTTGAACGCGTTTATGGTTGAACATTTTCAAGCAGGACACGTCCAGAGAATCTATGCGTAGACATTTTGAACAGCGTTGAAAATGAAGAAATTACAAAGAAACAGATAGAGAATTAAAGTGGATAAGTACATGGTTACTGCATATCCACATTTGGTTTCAGCCATCAAATTAAAGGATTTAGTAATATCTCAGATAATGTCAATCCATTAGAATAAGACCACATCCATGTTTCAGATGTTCAGTCAGTAGCAAAAGTTTCAGAGGAAAAAAAAGAAGATCAAAAAAGAAAAGCGAATGTCCTGACAGAAAAAAAGTTTTGACCTTTGGCCATAAATGCTTTACAGGGCAACGAACTTTTTGTTGTTTACGAATTAAACGAACAAGATGTTTCAATTCTAATAGCTTACACTTTCAGTCCCATTTTACAATGTTCGGTTCGAACATAAATCTAGGATATATGCGTTGCTTGCCACACCATTTTGGGAAAGAAAGGGTTAACTCAAAGTTGAACAAGAAGAACCAATGGTAACCATACCCTATTTAAGTGGAATATTGGATGAGCTCGAACTGAATAAGCTTTGTAATAGTACAAGAATGAAAAGAATAGTTAAGGAAACTTAATATGCAAGGCTTTCCAAAATTCCAAAAATTCGCGGAACTTCGCGACTTCCCGAAATTTCACGGAATTTTCGGAATTTCGCGACATTCACGGAAATTTTGCAAGTTATGTGGGTGGCTGATAAACTGGGGAAACGGTAATTTCCTCATCTGCTGCTAGCAAATCGTTAAAAACGCCATGTGAATTTTTCCATCCAAACCTTCATGCTGAAATGATCTATAATTTTTTCTAGAGTTATGACAGTGCCATATGTTTGATGTATGAAGCAAATCTTATAATTTCTACTCGACGTGCTACGTGCTAACAACACTTCTTACATTGTTTTGCTGCTGGTGGCACATTTTAGAATGAAATATCTGCCAAATTACACGACTTTCAATTTGAGGGACAATACATGAGAAGGCAATTTGTAAAATCATAATCTGACGAGCAATGCAGATAGAAATCTGTGCTCAGCATGGTACGGTAGAGCCGCTCACAAAGTCTTGAACACACAAAAAATCGCAAACAATTCTCGCAACAGATGGGCGAAAAGTACAGGCGAAGTTGCGATCTTGATAGGTTCAGCTACTTCTATCTCAGTTTATCTTTACTGTAAGACTGTGGAAAATAATTAGGATTTTCGTAAAAATCGAAACCAAAAACCACTATGAGGAAGTTTTCGGTCCGTCCAAAAACCTCAATATTTTGACCGAATCAAGGCCGAAGGTGAGGAGCGAGGAAAAATCAAGTGCTAATGGTTTCTTAGAAAATTGGGCCATAGATGTTATTATTCGACGTTGATTACAAAAAACACATCTGATTCGCAAGATAGCTTCTTTCTGTAGGACTACGGTGGATAGATTTTGAAAAATGTGAATTTCTTCGAAATTTGCTAGCCATTTTCGCTTTTACTCGGAAGACTTTTTGCGTTTTGTTTAGCGTTTGAAAAACTTGGGAAGGTGCTCTATCGAACGATATCAATCAAAGGTTTTTATCCGCATTACATATTGAGTTAGATCCTTACAAAAAACTGTTTGCAGAAGATAACTGAAGATTTTAAATAAACGCAAAATGACTTTTCACCGCATTCTTACAGTATTTATACAAAGTACCAGCAGTAAAAGTATAGCCGTAAGTGAGTACCGTAGCAGTGTCAGCCGGGTTTATCACTTTTGTCAATGATATGACCAACTTATTGATAAAACTAATAATTTTCAGTAGCGCCGCTAGCAGATTGCAGCTACAGCTCTGTAAGCATTTCCCTTTCAAGAAAATAAAAGTGTTTTAAAAGTGTACGTAGCCTACAGTTTACA